TTTTTTTTTAAGATTTTATTTATTTATTTACTTGAGAGAGAGAGAGAGAAACAGCATGAGAGCGGAGAGGGTCAGAGGGAGAAACAGGCTCCCTGCTGAGCCAGGAGCCCGATGTGGGACTCGATCCCAGGACTCCGGGATCATGACCTGAGCTGAAGGCAGTCGCTTAACCAACTGAGCCACCCAGGCGCCCTAAACTCAGGAATTCTTTAAAGCCCTAGATTTTGAAGTTTTGGTCTATTATTTTATTTCTAAACCTAGCAAGTTCTTCCCACCCCAGTCTACACTTGGTGAATACAGTATAAAACAGCAGAGAACCTAGACACCTTGCTGTGTATCTGTCTTCCCTAGAGCAGTCTGGTGGGGGTGGTGATGGTTCTGGGCTTCACACAGGGAGATTGTGTGATGGAAAATTCTGGAAATGCTTGTTCGAAGATGTTCCCCAAAGTTTTAGTTTTATCATAACCTCAGCCTTTAGGGATAAATATGAGTTAGGCAGTGGAGACACATTCCATGTGTGGGGCATGGGTAGAACACTGGAGAGAGAGAGTGCGGAGATGAGTCATTCAAGCTCCTGCCCACTTCCTCCTGAGGAGACTTTGATTCATGAGACTGACATGTGGGAGACAGCGCCTGCCTCAGGGATCGCTGCCACCCACAGTTCTTGACACAAAAGTATCCAAATACCAAATTACCTTGGGGTCTTGAGATTCATGGGGTGGTTCCTAGACCCAGTTTAGCTATTTTCTAAAGGGGAGAAGGACCCAAGAGGAAACCCCAGTGATTTTTAGTGCCTGTGTACATGAAGGCATGTTCTGGACCGATGCGATTTGGAGCTATACGAACTGTTACCAGGACGTTCCTTAATTTTTTGCAAATTATAAATGTTTGTATGTTATTTTTAATGATTTGTGAAGTCCCGTTTCCCAAAACATAGGGCGATGTCCACAAGGTAAACATAGATCATGAGAGATGGGATTGCCTTCGTGTTTGGCAATGACGATTGCTCTCGTGATTCGTGACACGTTTTGCAGACCATGAGGTGTGTTTGCAGTAGATGTAGAGATACTTCGGAGGGGAAGTCAGCTGGTTTCTGCCTTGATGCTCGTGCTATTCTGTTTTTTTGTTGTTGTTCTTTAGACAGCAGGATGAGGGAGGAGAGACAGGTTTTTTCTTAGGCCGTCTTCAGAACGTTCTCTCCTTACCACATTGTTTATGTTTGAGGGGAGACCTCGCAGGGACAGCACGGGGTGGGTTGCTGTGGTGAGAAAGAAGAGGTGCTTTTGGATTTTGCTGGATCTCTTCGTTCTTTTTGTGACCTGCCATTTGCCTCTGTCAGTGACTCTTTGGGGAGGGGGATGTGTCATTTATTTTTCCTGAGAATTTAGAATTAGAAGCGTTAGATCCCGAAGGCTTGGGACTTCAAGCAAGTTACGTGAGGCATTATTTGAGTCAAACTGTTTTTATCCTGCGTAGCTCACACCTAGCAGAACCACAGTTCAGACACCGCATGTAGGTATCGGGGGCCCGTTTTTTGAACTGATTGGACATGTGTCTTGATTTCAAGTTTTATGCCAATCAGAAACATAGCTTGAATGGTGAAATCTGTCATTTGCACCAATGAATAACTGTCAATAAGTGTTTACTTTTAGAGGTTTATTGCAAATTAAGAACTGACTGCATTTTGTGTAATCTGTCCCTTTTCGCACCAGAATGCAGTAAGTATGAACTGTTTGCAGTGACAGTCTGTTGCATGCTCCTGTGTGATTGGCTTCTCCAGCTGTGTGGATTTTGCAGTAAATGGCCATTGATTACCTGTGTGCGGATATGAAATAGAGAGAATTCATACAGGAATTTTTAAATATTGAGGGGAAATCTAGTTTGGGTCTAACTTACCCCTGAAGTTGTGTTGTAATTGTGAAGCTTTGCCTCTGATTTCTAACCTGCCTGTGTGTATTTCGTAGTCCTGTTGCAAAGCATACCTCCAGCTGTTCAGGCCATGTCATGTGTCTCAGGACCCTATTCTGCTCTTGCTTCTCCTCATTAGTTACCATTTGAAGACTTAGCATAATTTTGTTTAAATAGCTCCATGAGTATAGACTTCTTAAATAACAGAAAGGATTTTAACCGTTAAATAAACCATTAAAACTTTAATTTTATTTATAAGTTTTTAAATTGGGGTAGTAGTATTATATAAGGATATATTTTACCAAACAAAGAAAGCCAGACTCCCTCGTAGAGAAATGGCCTTATCCTGATCATAATCGTAATAAGGCATCTAGGCCAGAGTGACATCAGCTTCTAAGCAAAATTGTTAAGCTCCGAAGATTGGAGCGCATGGCTTTTAAAACTTTATGTGAAAATGGGGAATGCCCTTTGTGTCTCAGACCGTTTGTTGAAAGTATTGAAAATAAATGTATTCCCTTTAGTAAAAACCTTCATGATTAAAAACAAAAAACCAAAAAACTCTTTTCCTTGACCGGACTTAACATTTGAAAGATTAACCAATGATCGTGTGTATGTGTCATTTATGGTTTAGAGTTAAAAGTTCTCCCTGATTAATGAGTCCATCACTGGCGATAGGAAACCCTTAGCTGAATTCCAAGAAAGAATGTAGTCAGGTATCAGTCAGCATCCTAAGTCTCATTTTAAAATTTGCCCTACATAGGAGCAAAGTTGATTTTGAAAGTTCAGCTTTTGAAAAGCTCTATGACTTTTTTGCTTTCATCATTTACAGAGAGATTTGAAGGTCAGTTGCTCTGGGTATTCATGAGAAGCGATGAGCTTCAGTTTCACGCCGGGATGCTCGTGGCTCGCAGCTCGTTAGGGCCAGGACTGGCCACCTCGGTAGGGGAAGAGTCAGGTTTATCAGTGGTGGGGTCGTACTGTCCCTTGCTCCCATGGCCACCATCTCCTCTCCACAAAGACAGACGACCGAGGTGAAAATAACACGTCTTACTACCAGATCTACCTCTTCCTGGATGGTGTGGTTCTTGGTGGGGTGTATTCATTCAACAGACATGAACTTTGTGCCCTCAGTATCTACGGCAATACATTAAGCCCTGCGGATGGTCCAGAGATGATTTAGGCATGGATCTTCCACCGGAGTTTTAGGAGATAACTATAATATGAAGGAGAAGCTGCTGAGAACCATACGAGCAATAAATCATGAGCCTTCTGAGAAGAGAGTTTCTCACTAGGGAAATGATTTTGATGTGCTGATTCCCTTGAATCTCTATTTTTTCGGCACTTGGCTCATTCATTCACTCATCAAGTCATGTGGAGAACTTGCTGGGTGCAAAGTGCTGTGTGAGGCACGGGCTTACACTGGTGAACAGAAGAGACACATAGTCAGTCCTTGCCCGTCTAGTGAGACAGGGCTGAAACTAATCGATACACGTGTACACACATGCCCACACGCATATACACAGAGCGTGATTTTTAGAAAGTACTGGTATCTAAGAGTCAGAATGAGGGAGCTGACCCTGCATAGGGGAACAAGCGGTCAGGTCAAGAAGACTTTCTTGAGTTGCAGAGTTTCACCCGAGAATGGCCGATTGAGAACTTGGGTGACAGAGATTATAAATTTCACTGTTCCATTTTGGATCCTTTTGGGGAAACTATTTATTTATTTATTTATTTATACATACATGTGTGGGGTGCTTCTCTGTCAACTAAAAATCCTCATCTTTCAAAATACTACGTAACTTGTGTATACTTCATTCACCCGCTTGACTCATGAACCATTTCTCGAGTGCCTGCAGCGTGCAAGCCTGTGTGTGCTGGGCCTCGGCGTCCCGGGAGCTGTGTGCTGGGCAACAGTTAAATCCGCCAGACGGTGTGTGTGTGTGACGTTTCTTGTGGATTGCGGTGTTAGAGTGTCACTGCTGTGTGAGACCTAATGGCATGGTTTATAACGCTCTCTTCATTTTTCTCCATGTAGGACAACAGCTTTGAGCAGTTCATTATTAATTATTGTAATGAAAAGCTACAACAAATCTTCATTGAACTGACTCTTAAAGAAGAGCAGGAGGAATATATACGGGAGGTAATGTTGAAATACATTTTGTTAAAGGTTCCTTTTTTTACTCATCATACAAATTGTGGATTCAGAAGTCGCTATGAACAGGACCCTAAAATCAGATTTATCTAAGTTTAGCCGTATTTTGTCTTTTAAAAGTGCATTTGTTAGGACATCTAAGCTCACTGGGATTATCTTACTGCCCTGCTGCTAGAGCCTAGAACAGTGCCTGGCACATAGTAGGTGCTCAGGAAGTATCAGTTGACTGGCTCGAGTCTTAGCGGATTCTACTGTAATGATGTAAAATAATAGTGTGTTAAAAAAAGATTCAGATGAATGAGCAAACAGCAGTGGTGCATCCATACCAGGCAATAAAAAGGAGCAAACACCATTTGCAACAACATGGATGGACCTGGAGGGTATTATGCTAAGTGAAATAAGTCAGACTGAGAAGGACAAATACCATATGATTTCACTCATGTGGAACCTAAAAAACAAAACAGATGAATAAATAAAAGGTGGAATCAGACCAGTAAGCACAGAGAACCAGCTGATGGTTGCCAGAGGGAAGAGGGGTAGAGAATGGGCAAAACAGGTGAAGGAGAATAGGAGATACCGGCTTCCAGTTACGGAATGAGCCAGTCACAGGAATGGAAGGCACAGCATATAGGGAATACAGTCCATGGGATTGTAATCTTACTGCATGGTGACAGACGGGAGCTGTGCTCGTGGAGCGCACAGCATAAGGTATGGAGAAGCTGGATCACTGTGTTGTACACCTGAGACTAACGTAACACTGTGTGTCAGCTATGCTCAAAAGCAGTTTTTTTTTCAAACCAACATATAGTTGATCAAGGACTTATCTGAAGAATTGGCTACTCCAGAATAAAACGCATTAAAAATGAAAGAAAAAAATAATAAAAATGTCAGTCCACTGTCAAAAAAAAAAAAAAAAGGACCAAGCAATTGATAAACACAGTGACATAAGGAATCTCAAATGCATTATGCTAAAGGAAGGAAGCCAGATTCAAAAGTCTGTGTATCCTAGGATTCCATGATACGTTGTTCGAGAAAAGGCAAAGCGGCATTGATTTTCTAAGATTTTATAATAAGAACAGGTAATATTTGTTGAGTGCTCACTATATTGCCAGGTGTTGTTCTAGTACTGTGTAAATGATCTCACTTAATGTAATTTGAAAATAATCAGAAGTAATGTTTATGAAGTTTCATCCTTAATTGTACGACCCTGTGTGGTTTTCACGCTTTCATTTTTTAAATAATGTTTTTTGAAGTATAAAATTATTTCAAACAAAAGGAGGAATTATTGTATTGTGTCTATATTGTATTACATTTTTGTTTCTTTTTATTTATTTGCTTTAATATTTTAATAATGGTATTACCTATTTTTTTTCATTTTCTATAGTGTTACTGTAAATCACTAAAGACACTGAATCCTTTTTTCTTTCCTTTTTTTTGCTTCAGTACAGAATTTTCTAATGTGATTGTTATCCCCAGTGTCTTAATAAAATAACCCAGGTACTCGAAAGCTAAATCATAAATATTTCATCTTTCTTTTAGAATGATCACCATGCTTTAGAAACATTTCATACTTGGCTGGCACCTTTTTTAACGTAAACATCCTAAAAGCCAGATTCATTCTCTTCCTGTCTTCTCATCATAAATAGATTGCCCAAACTTTGATCTGTAACTTAAAACAGTTGGTACAGATTGTCTAAAACATGTCTAAGAATATATAGGGAGATCCCTAGCTTGCTGTATGAATTAAGTTCCCCTTAGAAGAAAAATAAATGTTTACACTTACAGGCAGAGTGTAAGCAGATCCAGAATGATGACATTTAGCCTCACAGATTTGGCTTTGTAGCTAGCCTCAGAACCAGTGGGTCGATTTTTATGTCTTTCTTTACGTTAGAAATATTTTGTCTTAGCACTGGGATGTTTTTACATTTGAATAGTCAACTGCCCTACAACATGGGATTGACTCTAAAATTAATTTTTCCTTGTGGTTACAAATTAAGAACAGAAAAAATGTGGGCCTTAGATTCCTGGGATCAAGTTCTGACTTATTTCCTTATAAACATTGTAAATATACACAAAGTAATATTGACCCAAGGGCCTGTTGAGTAAATGTTTGGCACAGAGCCAATGAAGTGCATGGGAAATTGCCACAGATGGGAGAGTGGAATGGGAGGCGGTCTCAGAACAGGTCAAGGGCGTGCACTTCAGTCACATCATGTCAGTGGCAGACCGCTGAAATTAAGGAAGTTTTGGGAACCGGAAGATGACATTTTGCAGCACTGATTTTATAAAGGAAATACCCAGAGAGGACATGAAGCATAGTAAGGTGGCACAGTGTCTGATTTATAGATGGTGGTGTGTGGCCTCATCATATGGAATCTGATTTTGTTCTCTTTTGTTTCTCAGGGCATAGAATGGACACACATTGACTATTTCAATAATGCTATCATTTGTGACCTAATAGAAAATGTGAGTATAAAAATTGCTTAGTAATAATATCCTGCACAAAAGATCTCGCAGGCTTCGGTGTTAAGCTGTAGCATTTTTGCTATTTTGACACTTTTCTTTACAGAACTGCAGAGTTCTGGAGACTCTATTATAGCCATCAGAGATCATGCACGGTTCTTGAACACACACATAGACAGCTGGACGTTTTGATCCTTGGCTAGGATTTTCAGTCTCGTCCCATGGCCCCATCATAGAGACCATGCATGACGTTCAGATGCCATGCCCTCAATGCACGCCCCATTCTTGCTGGGAGCCCAGGTCTAGTCCCCGGCTCCTGGGAATATGAGCACTGGTCAGAGGAGGCTCGGGCAAAACGTTTTTGCCCAGTCATATATCCATTTCATTTCCAAAATTCCAGGAACCACTTAATACACTGTTTAGTGGTTATTACCAAAAAGAGAATTATCGGTGAGGATGTGTGAAAATGTGCACGATTGCTGGGAGTGTAAATTAGTGCAGCCATAATAGAAAGCAGCATGGAAATTCCTCAAAAAATTAAAAATAGAACTGTTGTGTGATCCAGCAGTTCCACTTCTGGGTATATATATGCAAAGGAAACAGAATCAGGATCTCGAAGAGGTATCTTTACTCCCGTGTTAATTGCAGCATTATTCACAATAGCCAAGATATGGAAACAACCTAAGTGTCCGTCTATAGATGAATGGATAAAGAAGATGTGGTGTGTATATACAATGGGATATTATTCAGCCTTGAGAAAGAAGGAAATCCTGCCATTTGTGACAAAACAGATGGACCTTGAGGGCATTGCGCTAAGGGAAATAAGTTAGGCAGAGAAAGACAAATGCTGGGTGATATCACTTATATGTAGAATCTAAAAAAGCCAAAGAAACAATAGGATGGTGGTTGCTAGGGGCTGAGGTGGGGGAAATGGGGAGATGTCCGTCAAAGGGTACAGACTTCTAGTTACAAGATGAGTAAGTTCCAGAGATCTAATACATAGCATGGTGATTACAGTTAACAATGCTATATTATATATTTGAAAATAGGAGAGCAGGTCTTAAATGTTCTCATCACAAAAAAAAAAATGGTAACTATGTGACATGATAGAGGTGTTAACTAAGGCTTATGGTGGTAATCATTTTGCAGTGTAAAAGTATATCAAATTATCACCTTGTATACCTTAAAATTCCACAGTGTTATATGTCAACTGTATCTCACTAAAGCTGGAAAACATTGTTAAAATAAATTAATAAAGAACAACAAACATGCTCTTCAAGTTTAGGTAAAGGAGGATAAAGGGGCATGCTCTTCCAGCTACATGTTCTTCAAGTAAGATAACAAAAAACATTTCTTTGAGTTAAGATAAAGGAGGATAAAGGGACAATCATGGGAGCTGAGCTAAGTGGGACCCCAGGAGCAGCTCCACTACAGACCCGGCCTTGGTTCAGATTGCCTACGTGGGGGATATTTTGTGTGTGTGACTTTGCAGGTGGCCAAGGGCCACGGGAATTTTCAGGTGACCAGCTATGTCTGTATGTATGTGAAAAGGCTTAAAGTATGAAAAATTACCAGATAAATTTTAGATTCCAAAAGGTTACTAAATATTTTTTTTACATCGTAGTCTGTAGTTTATTATAAATGAATTGATTGCAGGAAGATTAATTTGTATGTGAAAACTTGGGAGCCCTTTTTTTAGGCTTAAGATTACTCACACTCTTGACCTCAATAACAAAGTTATTGAAAATTGTTTGAAATAATGCGTAAACTTTATTGTCCTGCAGTCTTTTTAGTTGTCAGTGGTAAGTGAGTGCTGGAATAGAATCACAGGCTCTAAATGTCCAGCAAGTCACTTTCTGTTCATCTGTAACAAGACCTTTTGGACATTATGTAATTAGCCAGTATCTCTTCCCTCGGTTTTTAAGATACTCCTGAAGGCTGCACCTTGAATTAAATGGAACATTAAATTGAATATTCTGAAGTATGACTGTTTAAGTAAACTTTGCTTTGAAATATTTGAACAGTTTCGGAAGGTGAATGCTAACATTCCACCTAAAGCAATTCAAAACTCTAATATCCAGAAAAATCAGTGAATTTACTGAAAATTTTTTGCTTGTAAATTTTGTGACCAAAGTAATTTGCTGTGAGAACTTTAACTTTCAGAAGTCATGACTAGTACATTTTCCTTCATAAATATAACATTGAACTTAATTATTTTCCCTTCAAGAAGGAAAAACAGAGAGAGAGAACCATGGTAATATACTTAATTTAACTAGATTATCTCAGCTCCAAATCCCCTTGCATATATGCTTGAAGAAACTCAGGTTCACGTAGAAGCCTGGGTACATAAAGGAAATGTTTCCTTCCGGTGTTACCTAACAATAATGTTTACTCTGGGGCTGTTGTGAACACACTTGATCCTTGAGAGTCCACATTTCCCCTGGGGTTTTGTGTGGAATGAGCAAATGCTGGTCAGAGGATGTCATGGCCTTGTGAGGAGAAGGGGAGAGGAACCAGGAGCTTTGGCCCGGTGGAAGTGGGTGGGGCTGATGGTCAGTAAAGTGGATTGTTCTCTTTGGAGTGGAGACATATGGGCCCATAGGGGCAATCCAAGGAAGAGCGGCCTTTATTTAGCAAAGTAGAAGATTCTGGATTTTTGATTCAGTTTAACTGGGCTGACTGCTCTTAGGATAAATAGGACCATAAGGTCTGAATACACAACAAATTCTCACTCGTGTTCAACATTCGTTTTGAAATTTTATGTGGAAGAATTTTATTCTAAACAGATATTCTTGAAACACAGCTTGATTGCCTTGATCCCAAATCACATTTTTTTTTTTTTTTGCTAGAAAATAAACTATTTTGAACACATGAACAATCTGAAAACATCTGAAACCAATTTCCTTCTGAAGCTATGGATCAAATAATGGCCTTAGAAGACTGTGCTTTGTGATTTATGACCACATGTCGTAGAGATTGCATTGTCACATATAGTTTCTGATGTTTAGATTTGTGTTTGAGTGTGTTTGGAATATGAGGTCTGATTTGCCTTTTTTGAACAATGTGGATTTCAGTCATCAGCCCATTGAGGTAGCTGAGGTGACTCCTAAGTCCTGTTCTGTGGGGGGGGTGAGGGGGCAGAGTGGGGGAGGGAGACGGATAGAGACCCCTCCCCCCCCCAGCAGGGACACACACCTGGGACTGTGGAAGGGGGCCGGGACTCCTGTGGCTTTTTGTGGCTTGTTTTGATTCTCTGCTTTTTGTTGTAACCGAGCGGAATTTTCTTGTGACTAAGTTAATTGTGTTTGACAGTGTAATTAGGAATAATTATTTAAACAATACAGTGAGGAAGGAAAGAGACGCTTTTTACTTCCTTTCTCGCAGAACACAAATGGGATCCTGGCCATGCTGGATGAGGAGTGCCTGAGACCTGGCACGGTCACCGACGAGACCTTCTTGGAGAAGCTCAACCAAGTTTGCGCCACTCACCAGCACTTTGAGAGCAGGATGAGCAAGAGCTCTAGGTTTCTTAATGACACATCCCTGCCTCACAGCTGTTTCAGAATTCAGCACTATGCTGGCAAGGTACGGGGGAGCCGCGAGCACCCAGTGGGCCTGCAGTCCTTCCCTTGAGGAGGCCATGCCTCAGGTGGCATTTGGACCAGTGCCAACTTGTAAGGATGAGTTGCTGAAATCGTAGGATCAGTAAATTGTTTAATAGAGGTAGAATCTGGATCGTGTTGAGTCAAAATCTTAACTGAGAGCTGAAAGGAAAAGCCAGTGGTCTTAATGAAAGAGCTCAAATGTATTTTAAAAATCGATGTTATTGTTTCCAAGCTCTGTTATCCTATAAAAATAGATCTGTCAACATGAATAAAAGGAGACTTGCTAGTAAAAATTAGGAGTCACTAACGACTGACAGTAAGGTTTTAGAAGCACAGATCACTTAGCAAAAACAATGAATTCTTAGATTGAGATTTTGAAACAAAAGTGGGGAAAATACCTACTTCTTTAAAAAAAACACTTATTGGGATGCCTGGGTGGCTTAGTCGGTTAAGTGTCTGCCTTCGGCTCAGGTCATGATCCCAGGGTCCTGGGATCGAGTCCCACATCGGGCTCCCTGCTCAGTGGGGAGCCTGCTTCTCCCTCTGCCTCTCCCCCTGCTTGTGCTCTCTCTCTCTCTGACAAATAAATAAATACGATCTTAAAAAAAAAAAGCACTTACTCATTTGCTTAATATTTGAGGGTATTAATTTTATGCCACCTAAGATCTATAAAGATAATGTTAAAACCAATTTTGATAATAGCTTAATTTTTAGAGTCCTGAAAGAGTATCAGTTGACGTTAATACCTCCTTTCTTTTACATAAGTTTGCAAATTCCAAAGAGGAAAACATTCTTATTTATATATTTAGTAAAAATTAAGTATATGGTACCCAAATTTCTGTTAATTTCAAAAAGTTGGAACTTAGTACTTCTTTTTTTTTTTTTTTTGTTAGCTTATGTTATTAAAAGATACTTTTCTGGTCAGTTCTTTGCCCGCTTAGGAGGTCTGAAAATATCAGTGCTATCTCTATTTTCTCCTACTTTTAAGCAGACTAGAATTGGCACATGTGAACTAAAAAAAAAGAAAGAAAAGTAAAACCTCAAAAATGTGCGCAAACACCAAAAAAGCCTACAATCCTTTGAAAATGTTACGATAGCATTTTTTGGAGTTTATTCTTGCAAATCCTGAAGTGTAATAGAATTTATTTTGAACTCTTCTGTGATTTAGACAGATGGAATTTAAACTTGGAGGCTAATTCGGTATTAGGAGTGTGACTAATGTGCCGGGGGAGGGGGTGGTTGATGGGGAAAGTAGAGGCTGCATTATAGTCTTGGAATATTTTTAACAGTTGTGTGATGCCTGGGACTGCAGTATGTCAGCTGTTGAGTTTCGTGTGCTGCTCATAGGTGCTGTATCAAGTGGAAGGATTTGTTGACAAAAACAATGATCTTCTCTATCGAGACCTGTCCCAAGCCATGTGGAAAGCTGGCCACACCCTCATCAAGTCTCTGTTCCCCGAAGGGAACCCCGCCAAGATCAACCTGAAAAGGCCTCCTACAGCAGGCTCTCAGTTCAAGGCGTCTGTGGCCACACTGATGAAAAACCTCCAGACCAAGAATCCAAACTACATTAGGTATTTCTGGCACATAAAATTCTTTGACAGGTTCATTAGGAAGGTACTTTCAGGGAAGATCATTTCCCTGTTTGCCTAAATCAGAATATAACCCCCACAGAGAATAACCCAAGTTCTTACCCGTCAAATAATGTGGTATCTTGGGTTCGCTTAAAAAATACTCCAGTGCCCCTCCCACCCCTTCAAGCAAGGAATTTAAAAAAGCGGGGGGGATAGATATTTAATGAAATTGCATTGTTCGCACATAGGATTTTTCACTTTTTGTATCTTTGTTTCATGACGTGTTCAGAAATGTAAGCGTTTTTTCTGGTAAAGGTTTTGCAGAAAACTCTTCTGTTGGATTCATCTTCTTACATTAACTTAGAGCACAGCATTAAACCAAGTGGGGCTTTAGTTCCAACTTTGGTGTTAGAAAATATGTCTCTTTCTTCTTGAGACTTATAGATTTGGAGAAAGGAATGACTCCCAAAACATTCTTAAATTTTTCAAAGCAACAGAAAGAATTCCTTCAGAAGCATCTGGTCTTTTTTTCCTGTTTCCAGGGCACCTTAGATCTCAAGATTCAGTAAAGCCCAATGAGGATTGGAGTTTTCAATCTGTGTATTTGGTGAAGTAGATAATGGGGGATGTGTATCTAACAGGTCAGGTTTCGTATAGCGCACACACACTCACACATCCTTTCCATAACTGTCTTTGAAAATGCCGTTGTGAGGAACCTAGCGGGAAGAACATTTCTGTGTGGTTTGTTTACCTAATATTTATATTGGTAACAAATATAAATAGTCAAAACCCCCTGGTTTGATTGCAATCAGGTTGGAACATATAGCAGGCAAAGATCCTAGTTTCAAAAAAGAAAAAAAACCCAGGAAACTTTCTGTGGTCAGTTGCTTTTGTTATTCTCAATTAAGTGGACTTTTAAAAAGTTATTATTTAATAATAATTTGCATGATGTGATATGCACAGATCCTAGGTGAATAGCTCAGTTATTTTTTCATCGTTGTATTCACTTTGACAACCACCACCTTGGTCAACATAAGGAAAATTCCATCACCCCAGAATGTTCCTTCATCTTCCTTCCTTTTTAGTGACTTTATTGTAGCTCTAAGAAGTCTTAATAAACTATAAGCTTGTGAATATATTATATTTTTTTCTAGAGTCTTTGTAGTTTCAGATTTCATGTTAAGGTCCATATTTTTCCATATAGATATCCCGTTGCTCTGGCACCATATATTGAAAAGAAAAAAATCGCTATTTTTTATTCAGTTATCTTGATGCCTTTATTGGAAATCAGTTGAAAACATGTGTAAGTGTTTAGGTCTAAACTCACTAGGCTGTTCCCATTGATCTGGTTGTCTATTTTTAAGCCAAAGGGTGGACATTATTTTTTGTAAATGTAAAAGGAGAAGCATAAAAACACCAAAGTCAAACTAGGTAAGACTTAATTGTTCACATATTATATATGTGTGAATTTATTTAACACTTGTAAGTAGGCAGATATAACCATAAATGTTTAATAGTGTATTAATTAAGATATAGAGATTGCTTCCTTAAGATCCGAACATAACAATGGCTTAAACAAGACTCACTTATTCCTTATGTAACTTCTGAGTATAAGGATTTTGGGGCTAACCCAGCATTTTCTTCTATTTTGTGGCTCTGTGGTTCCCAGGGTGTTTCCCTCATCCATATTGTCAAAGATGGCTTTCTACCATGGCTCTATATTCCCAGCCAGCGGTTAGAGAAGAACAAGGGGAGTGCAAGTCCCTTCCTTTTAAGGACACTCAGAAATGCCATATATTAATTCTGTTGTGATCCTGGTGGCCAGACTTTTGATCACATGGCCACACCTACTTGCAAAAGAGGCTGGGAAATGTTCGTTGTTCCTTGGACAGCAAAATGCCCTGTTAAAAAGGAGGGAGATACAGGGCAATAGGGAAACAGTAGTGTTTTTAATAGTTTCAGTGAGTTATATCATACGGTACAGTAAAGTGTATGAATCTTAATTGCACAGCTTGTTGAAGTTTTTATATATGTATACACCTGTGCCCATCATCCCCGAAGGTTCCTTTGTGCCCCTTCTCTGTCGATCTGCACCCCTACCTCTCCCCAGAGGTAACAGCAATACTGATTTCTAATCATAGATTTGTTTTTCTTGAACTTCATATAAATGGAATTAAAAAATATATACTCTTTTATGTCAAACTTATTTCAATCAACAGAACGTCAGTGATATTCATCCCTGTTATTATTGTATGTATTAGTATATTCTTTAAGTGCCATGTATGTATGTCATATTCATTTTTAGGTTTCTGTAAAACAGTTTAAAATAATTTAAAAAGATATGACTAGGTTTCCCAAAGATAATAAATAATTATCGCAAAATAATTATATACTCTACTTTGTAAAACACAGATCTATCCTCAAGAGACAGAGTTTAAAACCTAAAATCTGTGTGATATTTTAGGTGCATCAAACCAAATGATAAAAAAGCAGCACACATCTTCACCGAGGCTCTAGTGTGTCATCAGATCAGGTACCTGGGTCTTTTGGAGAATGTTCGAGTGAGGAGGGCAGGCTACGCCTTCAGGCAGGCCTATGAACCATGCCTAGAAAGATACAAAATGCTTTGTAAACAAACATGGCCTCATTGGAAAGGACCAGCAAGGTAAGAAATGCATTGATCACATTTAATAATGAAGTTTTAAAGCCTACAAATCCCATGCTATTTTCTTCACCTGCTGTTAGTAAAACAATTCTGTGGCAAGTTGGATGCTTCCTCTGTGTTGGACCCTCTTCCATTAGGGTACCGTTTTGTGCCAATCAGTGATTGATTATAGAGGCCTCGATTGTAAGGTCTGAACAGGGCTTATCCACATTTGGAACTTGTATGTCAATAGAATTTTAAAAATATGCTGTGGCAAGTTCGTAGGAGGGGATTTGTAATTGCTAAGTATATTTGTGTAGAATCATGAAAGGAGTTAGAGACATCTCGGATCACTGCTCTTCGCTTTTTGGGTTTTTTTTTTCTGGGGAATTAACCCCAGAGACAGACGGTGAGTGGGGGTGAGGGTCTTACTCTTCGCCTGGGTCTGCACCAACTGAGAAATAGATACAGGAGCAGATAGGACTCAGAGTCAGTGTTATTGCTGGTGAAGCTGGATTGGAGAACATGGTGGAATCCAGGTCCTGCGGCTTTCCGCCCATCTTCGCTGAATTGCACTCAGGCATCTAGTCCCAGACAGAGCGATGGACCCCTGCAGGAGCAGCCCCTGTGAGCTCTCCACATGCAGACAGAACCTGTGTACTGCCAGGGGGCTGCTGCAGCAGAGAAAGCAGGCTTCGGCTGTCCACTGCGCTTTCTTCAGCTCTTGCCCGGCGGAGAAGTTGCCCCTTCCCTGCAGGTGGCAGAAGCTCTCCCAACCACCACAGGAAGGCCGCCGTGTCTGTTTTACGGGCCTGTGCAGGCACTAGGGATTTGATTTCACTGTACTGGTATTGCCCCCACATTCTCACTGGACATGGCCTGGAATAGGACACTCACCCTGTGTATTACAAGGAGATGAACTCCAGACATATGATGTGGCCTCCGATGCCACAGGTCAACACCCAGGCAGTGTGGGATCTGCGTACTGTTTGTTCCCATTGCTAATTGCCACGGTAGAATGGTCAGTATTTACCATAATGCACAGAACATGCCTTCACTCCCTGCTTGGCACCTAGGCCCTAAGTCGGTGGGCTGAAGTTTCGTTAAAGATTGATGTTGAAAGCGGAGTCCAGGATGGAGAAGTCAGAGCCCAGCTCAGGCCTTGCTCCCATCGCATAAGGCCTCTGCTTCATTCCACCCCATTGGTCTGGCACTTAGCACTGTCTCTTGGGTTCTGCCCATGCTGTGAGGCATGAGCGCAATATTAAAAATATTTTCAAGAGTTAACTGAGCGGACTCAAAAATAGATGTGAATTTCTTGTATCCCCTCCTGATCCTGGTTGGGGCTTTGTTATGGGTATATTTGATACAAAGATTGCCTCTGTTAATGAAATCAAGATACTGGCTTTAATGCCGTATTTTCCTAGACTACATAGTTCCGAACCCAAATTTACTCTTTCAGCGTTACTGGATTTGGTTTAATTTGTGGAGTTCAGTCTGAAAAATCTTTCACAAAAGACTGCTTACTGAAAGACCAATTGTACTTGGAAATAAAGCTATTTTTTTATGCTGCTAAGAACCTGATACCATGATTGAAGAGAAGATAACCTCTTTTTATAACTCAGAAAACTCACTGTTTTTATTTATTTTTATAGGGCTGGCGTGGAGGTTCTGTTTAATGAATTAGAGATTCCTGTGGAAGAATACTCCTTTGGTAGATCAAAGATATTCATCCGGAACCCGAGAACAGTAAGTAACCAAAATCTTGACACTCTGAACTTACGTTATAATCATATAGGCAAGTCCTTAAAGGATATTTAACTTCATAACATCACCAGAGATGCTGCCAGGAGGCCCACATTCTTGTTTTTTCTGCAGACCTCCAGGAGGATGGGCAAGTAGGAGGGCAGTAGAAGAACGTGGTTTTTTTTTTGTTTTGTTTTGTTTTAAGATTTTATTTATTTATTTGACAGAGAGAGACACAGCGAGAGAGGGAACACAAGCAGGGGGAGCGGGAGAGGGAGAAGCAGGCTCCCTGCAGAGCAGGGAGCCCGATGCGGGACTTGATCCCAGGACCCCGGGATCATGACCTGAGCCGAAGGCAGTCGCCTAACCAACTGAGCCACCCATGCGCCCTAACGTGGTTTTTTTAATGAAACATCAAAATCTTTGAACTGATAGATTGTACACCACTTACTAGAGAAACGGTTATTACAGCAATAAAACCTCCCTAATTCATAGGAATTGGGGGTAAATTCAGTCTGTATTGATTATAGCTGAATTATGTAATAATTTTAGGAAAGACAACCCTATTATTTTAAGGTACGTGAAAGCATTCCTATTGAAAAAATTTTTAAGGTGAAAAGGACACTTAAAATTCTACGTAGGAACTCCAAGGGAACGTTTTTTTGTAAACGAATATAGACTAGGATGAAGTATAATTAACATAGCAGTGTCTTTGGTAATTTGGAGAATTTGGCAAATGTTTGAATTGTTCAAGAGAGAAACATTATCAGCATCCCCCTGCGCTTAGTAGTTGCATTCCCGTGGATAGCGTGAAGGTAAATCTGAGCTTCCAGTTCAGCCCCTCTCTGATTTGTCAAATTCTCCATCGCCCTATTGTAAATAGTGGATCTTGTATGAATTCATCAAAATAGGTCTTCTCGTGGGTTGTTATTCCTATCATCTGTAATTAAGATGGTTATGCATTTTTTTTCTCAATGTGGTTGATTCTAACATTGTGAACTTTTTCCTCCTGGAGATGTCTTTCATGCATGTCATAAGGTTTTGGTAGACTTTTGATAAATCCATCTACCCTTTCTTATTAGTTATTCAAACTAGAAGACCTGAGGAAACAGCGTCTTGAGGACTTGGCCACTCTCATTCAGAAGATTTATCGGGGGTGGAAATGCCGCACACACTTCCTGCTAATGAGAAAAAGCCAGATCGTGGTAGCCGCCTGGTATAGGAGATACGCGGTAAGAGCCTCCGACCTTTCTCATCTGTAATAATGAGGCTTATTTGCAAGTATTCGTTATGTAGTTAACTGTGTATGTCATTTTTACATATTCGGTTCCCCCAGCAACTTCATGGAATGAGTACTCTTGTGGTACCTTTGTTAAAGACAGGGAAACTGAGGCATGAGGCGTCAAGTAACTTGCCCGTGGGCAAACAGCCACTAAGCAGCAGAGATGAGATTTGCATCCAGGACAACTTTAAAGCTCAAGTTTAGTATGTCACGACGCTGCCTTCCCTGATATAGATACATGTATTGAGAGATTGAAATCTTGAAATTGCTCATCAGATTTGAAGAGGCAGTGTCATTTAACTCTCTTCATATCGTAGGGTCAATTTTCCAGAATAATTGGCTGTTCTCTGTGTATTGTAGCAGCGCTGAAAATGGCTTCATTCCAGAAAACTAATGCCCCATTGTAGTAGAATTCTGGGTTTGGTGCAAGAGTTCAATTTCCTTTAGTCCTCAGATAGCTGGTCTTATTAACTAGGGGAAAAGACTCAAAAATACAGTATGTTTACTTAATAGACATGGCATTTCTTTTTGGGATTTTCTTTCTCACTTGATTATAGATGTTTCATTGAAGGAGTAACATGTTTGACGGAAGCCCGGAGGTTTGCCTTTAGGCTAGCTTAAACCTGGGCTGTGTTCTCACAAATGAATTTTAGTGATAAAAACACTACTCCCAAGTGCTTTTTCATTCTATGCATTTGCTCTAGAGAGTGAGTCGGAAGATGAATTGAATTTGCAGTCAGATCTCCTTTAGGGTATTCTGTTTCTCTGCTCTAGAAACATCTTACTAGGAGGCGGTGTGTAACCAGGACATAGTGTTGCTGACCTAGTCTCATGTCATGTGTTTTAGCGTAATACGTCCAAATTTGAGAAATTAAGGACATACTTAAATGATTAAGCCAAAGAAAAAAAATTGCTTGATCTTTAAGAGAGTACCTTTACAATTGCTTCCTCTAGTCGAAAGGGTACAACCAGTAGAATGGGTGTGGACGTATGGACCTGTCCAGTCACGATGATGGTTGTATTCCTATGTAATCTGCAAAGGCGCAGAGGACGGTTGTCCTGGCTGTGGTGGATTCTCTTCCGTGCACACAGCAATGGCGCTTGGCATTTCTGCAGATTCATAATGCTCTATTTTGTATTCGTCTGAGAAAGGGGGGACTGAGAAATCACCAGTCCTCAGGGACCCTTTTCATCATTTATTTTTGAGATCATTAAGAAAATCCACGTTTGGGAGTGTAGTGAATTCATCTACCTTGAATCCTACGAATGCTTTTGCCAACACCTACTCTTCCAGGCTCTGGGGAGAGCACCATGAACAAAACAACCTAATTTCCTGACCTCCTAGAGTTTATATCTAGTAAGGGACAAGCAAGTGAATAATCGGAACAATTACAGATTGTAGTCAGTGCTAGGAAGAAAACCAAGAGTACTGAGATAAAGGATAGTGGAGAATTAGGATGTAAATATAAGATACAAATTTAGATAGCAAGGTCAAGGAAGACCTCTGGAAGGCGGCATTTCATCAGAAGTCTGCGAAGAAACAGGGCAATGAACCAGGAAAAGCAGGTACCATCTGTGGCCTTTCCTCCCTGTGTCTCCAGATGAATAAAAGAGCCACCATGTAATGTACCATTAAATCATGATGGGGAGAGCGACGATGAATACTGATTTGGAGAATAGAAACAAATAATAGCCTAACTTTCAGAGAAAGTATTAATTTTGCCCTAGTGTCAAATCTGCTTCAGAAGTTGAACTAAACACCTCAACCAGTTAACTACGTGTTATCCACGCCAGGGATTAAACTCAGTATTTTTCCTCAATCAGATAACTCCAACACTTTCTCCATGCCTGTTTTCAGTTGCTGATTATTTTAAAATCCATATTCTGTCCTTTTTAATGGCTCTATGAGATGAATTTTAAAGTGAGATAGAGTTCTTTTCAAGCCATTTAGGAGTTTCAGAAGAGAACAGTGAGGTACCAAATGGATGTCAGAAGTGATGGTCAGAGACGGTGGGTGTAGTTTGTTGTACAGCACGGAATATTCTTCTGTGAGGAATCTGGGGGCGGGGAGGGGTTTGCAGCTCCTCATTTGACAGATGAGGAAATGGAGACCCAGAGAAGGTAGTGACTTGTCCAAGGTCTTTGTCTCTGGTGTTCTCTTGCTTTGCTGCTCATGTGTTGATCACATCACCGTGTTTCCTCTGAGCTTCCAAAATACAACCTAGGGTGCCGAAAGGCATGTCTGCCCCCCCAGTAAAGGGAGCTGAGCAATCTAGCATTTCCAAAGTGAAAGAAGCACAACATGACTTCAGTACATTGAAAAGCTGAAATTTCACCCCAGATGCACATGTGCCAGGGAATATTCCACATTAAATACAGTAAGAGCTCACGTTTCTAGGGGTAGGATTCCAATCGCCTCCACTCTCTGAGGCATCAGCCCTAGAACTAAAAAGGGCCTCCGGGCATTGAGCTTGCTGTGCCAACATTTGGCCTGGGGCCTCCTTCTTGGAGGCTCACTGGGTTGGCTTTAACCTTCCCCACCCGGAGGCGACCTTGGCTGTATCTGAACCTACTTGGTGCTCACTCGACTCTCCCAAGATGCTGTTTCTGTTTCACATCGCCGACTGGTGTCCACTGCAAGTCCTTGGGTGCAGGAGTGGGGTTGGATTCACGTTTATATCCCCACAGTTCTATTAAAGTGATGATCATTGAATTATATTTAGCATCCTTAAAGCATTCTCTGGATTAACTGTAATAATTTTGGATCGTTTGATATTTTGATTTCTTTACATATTGGTTCCCAGAAGGAATATGGGAGATCAAGGGTTAATTGCACTAAGTGAGCAAGTCCTCTTTCTCAATCCTTGCAGTGTGTGTGTTACAGATGTGTAAATAGAACCGCTAATATCTTTCCCTTTCGTCCTACAGCAACAAAAGAGGTATCAGCAGATCAAGAGTTCTGCCTTGGTAATTCAGTCTTATATCCGGGGTTGGAAGGTAAGTTTGAAAGAAGTGAGCCTTATTTATTTGGGGTTTTCAGGTTCTTCACAAAGGATGATGTCTTTAAGGTCACCCTGCAGGGGAGAGCTCCTCGTCTCCTGCCTACCCTGTAAACAGTCAGATAGAAAGAATAAATATTATGGGCGACGCTGGGGCCCTTGTGACCATGTCTTGGCTGCATCCTTCCAACCGGTTCTCTTTTCAAGAGCTTTGTTCTCTGAGCAGGAAGTCCTTGAAATAATACCGTACATGATTTCAGTATCCTCTTGCCCCCTGTTTGCCAGGGAAGTGTAGCCCAGAGGGCTGTCTCTCACACTGTTGCCTCTGTACCTGTGTGTCCTGCCGGACCTCAGCACCCCCAGCCCGGCTCCCTTCTGTAACTTCCTGGTGACCGTCTTGTGGGCTGCCCCGTAATGAACAAAACATCCTGAGCTCTGGCCATTCTAGTGGGGATCACAGCGCACCCATCACCGAGTTCCAGGTCCTTCCTATAAGCTTGGTTCGGAGGTCAGCAAACTACAGCCTCTGGACCAAATCAAGCCTATGCCTGTTTTTGTGCAAAGAATCGCTTTTATATTTTTTAAAGCATTGTTTAAAACAAAAGAAGAACCATCTCATGAGGTGTTAAAAATTATATGGTATACAAATATAATTACAAAGTTCATATAAAGTTTTATTGGTACAAAACCTTGCTTATTTATTTACATCTCGCGAGTGGCTGCTTTAGTGCTGTCACATCAGAACTGAGTAGTTGTGATAGAGAACGTAAAACCTGTAAAGCCAGAAATACTACCCGTCTGGCCTTCTACAGAAAGGTTATTGACCCCTGCTCCAGGTCGAAGATACTTCAGGGCCTATCCTGACCACTTTCCTATTGGGAGATTTTGTGGGGTGAGCTGGGTCCAGAGGGGCTAGTCCAAGGTAGTTCCCAGGCCCAGGGCCCCTTCAGAGGGTAGAGCCCTGGGCCAGGAGTCCAGCGGCATCGATTGACCTTCGTCTAGGCCCGTGGGGCACTTTGGTCGTTGTCCCACAGCAGATGCCAAAATATAAATCCAAGCACATGGAGGAAGTGAAATTACTGCCTGCCAGTTCTTCTTTGACCTCATTACTGGGTCATGGGGCCATGACTCCAGTCTAGAGACTTCAGACATTCAGAGTCCACCTCCAAACCACGCGCTGCCCTGGCCCCCACAGAGTCAGTTCCTGGTGGCTACTGGGAAGAAGCCGCTGGTTTTGGACCAGTGAGATTATTTTAGCAAGTTTTTAAACATCTCTTCTGAATAAAAAGTACAGCTCCGGTTACGTTCTGTATACAACAATAATGAAAGTGATAAAGGGATTTTGGAGGATCATTGGAGATCCTCTGACCACGTTCTGAGAGCGGTTCCCTCCATCCGATGTGCGCCAGCTTCTATTGCTTGTGCTCAGATTTTCCTCCTGTCACACGTGAGGGCACAGGAGGCCGCTACCTCAGTCTGAGTGGCGGCTACACTGTCGTGCTCGACGACGGCCTCATTTACCACCTTCTCCTGGTCCGTTGAGGCCTACTAAGCAAGTTCTCCTTTTTCTCTCCTTAAGCTGTAGATCTTTCACTTGAGAACGGATATGATGACTGTCTCCTCAAGTATTTTTTTTCCCACATCACTATGGAATTTCATTTTTTTGGTTAACTCTCTATTTTCCTGGGTGATTCTTCCCCTCAGGCCCGGAAGATCCTGCGGGAACTGAAGCACCAAAAGCGATGTGAGGAGGCAGCCACCACCATTGCGGCCTATTGGCGTGGGACCCAGGTAGGCCAGAGACTGCCCCCCAGCGGCCCCCCCCCCCGGGAAGGCAGTGGGTCGGGAGTAACGTGTGGGGCCACGGACCCTCTCCTTCGGGGGCCAGAAATGTTTCCCTGGCTTAAGCTACTGAGCACGCCTTTACCTGCCTGTCTCTCCGATATTGTGGTGTGGGGTGGAGGCACACGCTTTCGCGTTCACTGTGTGATGGTGACTGGTGTCTCTCTTCCTCTTTCCCCTTTGGGAACCAGCAGTAACCTTTCTTGCCTTAAACTTTTCTGTAACTCCTTTTCAAATGCATCACAGGCGCGAAGGGAACTGAGCCGGCTGAAGGAGGAGGCTAGGAATAAACATGCTATTGCAGTTATTTGGGCTTACTGGCTTGGATCTAAGGTACTTGATTCGCACAACCCGTCCCTCGGTCCCGGAATCCGCCACGATCAGTTTGGATCTTTAGCCTGTCGGGCTGAATGACTCCAGCTAACGGTGGCTCCCACTGGTGCATGTCCTAGCAGCCGGATTTGATAAACCTGGGATGGTAGTGTCAGTAGTACCCATTAGGATCCCTAAGCATGTGTAGGCCGAATGTGTAGACTCCCAGTTGCTCCTTAACGAGGCACCAGTGTAATGGCTCCTTTTTAAAAAAAAAACTCTCAAGTAACGTGCATGTTTAGTTTAGGGTTTTTTCCCCCCTCCCCCTTCCCTCCCTCCAACCCCCCAACATACACTGACAGTTTTCTTGAGGGATTTTTGTTTGGTGGGGGGGCGGGGGGGCATGTTGGGAATGTTAAGGTTTGGGCCTCGGTCGGTCTTCTGCAACGTGATGATGATAGGACCACCTTTAACGCATGCCTTAAAACATATTAATCCGTGAATGAAATGTGTTGTAGGCTCCTTGTGGCAGCCATTGATTATTACGAGCAAAACGTGGTATGGGGAAAGAATGATCATTTGTGATTTAACAGAAAGCTGTGTTCATACAAAGCTAGCTATAATTGCCACTGAAGAATCCCAAGAATTTCAGCATCAGCTGTTTGTGTTCAGAAACAAAGGCCTCCTGAAATACTCTCACTAATCCCCAGGCAGAGTCGTGGGCTCTGTGAACATTTCACATACCCCAAGGGACGAGACTTTTAGATGTTTTTGTTACTTAGGAAATCAAAGGTCATCTCTGCTAAAAATGTGTATTCCGGTTAGAAGCATAAATATCAATAGAGTCCTATGTTTTTAAATTTGCCTTGTCAGCATTAGAAGCCCATCTTGTGAGAAAAATGAGAAAAGTCAACATTTGCCTGTATGAAGATCCTAATTTGCCGAAAGCACTCACCAGCGTTGCTCGTTTGTGTTTTTGCTTGAAAAATCTGTGCAGAACAGACTAGTTCCTTTAGTAAGTGGAGGGAAATGTCCTAGCACAGGCAGAGAGACGCTTTGACAATTATCTCTGGGTTTTCCCCGCTGAATGAGCTCATTTCCCAGTCAGTACTACCGGGTAATGAAAAGTCACTGCCTGTTTCATCTTTCACAGTAACATGCCTCAGTTTGACTCTTCCCTAGGATTGATTTTTAAACCTAGAAGTCTTTTCACTTTTTATCGTCAGTGTATTTCACCGTTGGGGGCCTTGAGCTCACACTGAATTTCGATACGGGCTACTTCTGATTTTCTAATGGGAAAGGATTTTGAGTTTTGTTTTTTTGTTTGAACTTCAGAGAAACAGCCCATATTCCTTCTATTTTCAAACGCTTGTTCGTAAGAGCTGTCTTTTTATAATAATGTCTGAATGAATGAACACAGAAATTCATAGCCCCTTTAGCCCTGTGTACTGGCAGCAGAGGGAAATCTGCTGAAGGCATCAGCTGCCACTCACAGTTCGAAGGTTTGGATAAGGGAGAGAGAGAGGGAAGTGGAAGAGGGAGAGAGAGACCAGGGAAGGAAGAAGGAAAACAAAGGGAAGTGCGGGCGCAGAGGCGTGCTAACCTCGGGTACCATGCAGATCGCCTTCCCCTGAAACAGAGGCTCAGTGCCCTAAAAAGACAAGGGCCTGCCCCGGCCTTACGCTGATTCTTTGGGTTTAAATGATTGTGCCCGATTGCTCTATCATTCTGAAATCCTTACTCATCAGTTGGCTCTTCTGTTTGGTGGGGTGTCTTTTTCTGGTCATTTGTGCTGTCTGCATTGGGCTGTCTCTTTTATTTACTATCTAAAACATTCTAGGCTCGAAGGGAATTGAAACGCTTGAAGGAGGAGGCTAGGCGTAAGCATGCAGTTGCTGTCATTTGGGCTTACTGGCTTGGACTGAAGGTACTTCCCCACCCCTTCTTTCTGCCCACGGTGAACTCAACGAAGCCTAGCACTTACTAACCCTGAGAAAATGATCGATTATGCTTGCTTATGGTCTGCACAGTCTTTTACGATGTCATCTTGCCTAATTGCGTTCCTTTTTGAGAACAAACCTGTGCACTAATATTTGCTGATTTTATTGTGGTGTATTTCTTTGAACAATCGGTTTAAAGTCATAGCACTGTAGCGTGTTTTATCTAATAAGGCACTTTGTTATCCAAGTTCTGTTTCATGTTATCTTTATGAGGATGAAGTTTGTGTTTTGTTTTTTGTTTTTAATTCATGAGACAGAGTTATAGTAGACGAGCTTAAAAGCTGACCCACAGTCTACAGTGGCCAGCGTGGGGGATATCAGGCTCTTGGTTCCCCTTGTCCGACTCTTCTGCTCCAGTAATGGGTCCTGGAGCGGAGCTTTCTGCGGAGGGACTGCCATTCTCATGGTTCAGCATAGAACCCAAAGGATTTTGCATAAAAGTACAGATTCAGACAAATAAGCCTGGCAGTGGATCATTCAGATTAGATTCAGATGCCTTTTAATTAAGGGCAGGGTTCATTTCAAAGTGGTGCTTACTCATTTAGGTAAAATATGACTGAGCCCCCAGAAAACCTTGAGAACAACTTCTAAGCAGTGTAAAGACTGTGTCTTCCTAGTATTCAATAACTCATCGCCATAGGGTGCCATCCAGATTGTCTTTTGGGGATACTTAGGCCCCCTTTTGATTCTATTCCTCTTTTATTATTTTTGCTGTAATAGTATAACAATTCATCTTCTTCTAAATATTTAAATACCATCCAGGAAACCACTGGCTCTGGATCTAAAGAGCACTAGCAGTATCTGTACATTCTGCTCTTGAATAATCCACATTTTCTCCTAAAAGTTTAGCCTATAAACTCTTAGTAAATTAACCTTTTTGATTATACTGAATATTCATCAAGCAGTTTTTAAATTAAGAAGTAACTTAAACAGGAACTTAAGATGTTCTGTTTAATTCTGAATAAGTTCTATAACTGCTTTTTTTTAAAGGATTTTATTTCCCATTTTATTCACTTGTTCTAATTTGCATTCTGATTTTCGTAAAAAGAAGGAACAAAACATTGAGTCAGGATTTTTACTCTGTGTCATGATTTCTACCAGCAACATCACATTTATCTTTAGTTTTCTGGGTTTAACTGTGTATGGTTTCAGAAATACCTTCGTATTAGGGGTGTATACTAGCAGCCTATAAATCAAATTCAGTTTGTAGGTGAATTGTAGGTTTTAGCTGGAGGTAACTGGGCTTCCTCTAGATGTAATTCTTTTTTTTCCACCAGTTTCCTTATAAAACAAGTATTTTGATACGTTACCATTATTATTGTTATGAGATAAGGTCAGACTTCTTTGGAGTCCAAGAATGTAATCATTTTGTGCTTTTTTTTAAAGAATGATGTTGATAAGAGCAGTAGTTTTGTCCTTTCAAATGATTAAGTTCTTGTGGAATTGATTACAGAGTTCAGTGGACTCTTTCAGGACTGTCAGAGCCCACGAGGGGAACCCATTCCACATAGCCAGCATGTTGTCACCAGGCCTTTTCTGTATATAGCTGTGATTCCGGAGAATATTTCAGGAAAAATATTCCTGTGAATATCAAAAAGCATGTTACAGGGCGCCTGGGTGGCTCAGTTGGTTAAGCGACTGCCTTCGGCTCAGGTCATGATCCTGGAGTCCCTGGATCGAGTCCCACGTCAGGCTCCCTGC